AACATCGTTTGTGTGTGTGTTTAAAAGTTCTAGTGTTACTTTATTAACATTCTAACTGGTTATAAAGTTTTGTTTATCTTAAGTTATTTAAAAGTGTAAAAATTGCGTTTATTTTTTGAAAGTTTAGTGCAAACGAAGTGATATTGTGTGCTTAACTACATGGCTGACCCTACCGGTTTAGGGTTAAGCTATGCTCAAGTGGTAGAACAAGCAAGGACAAAGACACGTCAAAATGGAACTTTACAAACAAAACAAGTTAACAGAGAAAGCTCTCTTACGAGATAACATGGCATCGTAATTCTTACAACGAAAGAAATTGTACAAGACGATGTATACTAGGCTATTGGTGGGTTTCAAATGTATTTTCATGACCGTTCATGGGCGATGGAGCTAATTGAAACAGGTATGGACATTAAGTGTCAGAATTTTGAAATTAAACCAGCAGCTTTAACTCCAACGAAAATTGTTATTTCTAGCCTATCACCTGAAATACGTCATGGAGTTATAAGAAAATTGTGTTCAAATTTTGAAAGGGTAGTCGGTCTTATTCGCACGCTGCCTGTGTCAACACAATATCCAGAGTTTAAACGCTTTTAAAAGTTTCAGACGACAAGTGTACATTGAACTGATTGAAGATCAGATGGTTATCGTTATACATTTTAAGTAAGTTTGTCGATGCAATGTTTCAATTGTAAGGCTTATGGGCATGCAAAAAATATTGCCCTCAGTTAAAGGAACAGAAAAACCAGTAATTGTTAATTTAAATAATGAAGACATGACACCAGAAGATCCGCAGTTGACAACATTTGATACCATTAGAGCTGGTCAGCGCCATATTGATCTAGAGACAACAGGTATAGAAGTACAAGATTATCAGAAAGAAGAAAATGAACAATTAATTGATGATACTATCTTTAAAAAATATAGTACAGAACCAACTGAATGACTGGAAAATATAGTCTTATAAAGAAAACGATAGAAGCTCAATCAGAATAAGAAAATCAAACTGTTATAAAAAAAAAGTGAGAGATAACACAGATCAAGAAGACTGTAAATTATTAATTGATACTACCAATTTATAGAAAAAGGTAGGGACTGATGAACAAAATGGAATTATTACGAAAGAAAAAGATAATACAGAACCAAATGAAATGACTAAAGATAGTGTTATGAAGGAAACGATAGAAGCTCAATTAGAACAAGATAATCGAACAGATTTAATTGATGTAAATCAACAACAAGCCATTATGAAAAAGAGAAATAAAATAGACCAAAATAATCGTAAATCAGTAATTGATATGACTGATTTAGAGGAAAGGGTAGAGACTGGTGAACAAAATGGAATCAATACGAAATGTTTGTTAACCAAATCTCTTTCACAAATTAATTTAGAACATACTGATGATACTCAAACAAGTTTGTGTAATGATGTAAAGGAAAATGAAAATGAAGATTTAGAATATCTCGATATAGAGAGTGACGATGAGATTTTTGAAGAGTCATTATCAAAATCAAGATTTTTAAATTTTGAAAAAAACATTAAAGGATCGTCTAAAAATCAGAAGTGGCTTTGAAATATACAGACAACATAACAAGCTTGGTACACCAAATAGAGAAACTGGGAGAACATACTACAAGTAAAATAGATCATAATAGTGTAAATAGAAGAAATAGATTATATTATTTATCTAAAAGTTTAAGTGAAAATTTTGTAAATTTAATCTAAGATGTATGTATTACTGGTGTTAAATTTACATTCTAAGTTTCCCTTTTCCCTTTTCTTCTGTTTATGGCAGTTATTGCTTATAAAATGTTAGAGGTTGTTCTACAGATATGAATAACCGAGTGGTTAAAAATGATATTATGCGTCATAATACAGAAATTATTATATTAAAATAAATTAACGTTCACGTGGAAAGACAATCTTTATTATGGAATAATTGGAATTTTAATATCATTCATTCCTATGTTACACAACAGCATGGATTTGGTGTACTAATAAGTTTACATAAGTCATCTGGGAAAGAAATGAAATTTTTCTCCAACAAAAGTGATAAAATCAATATAGTTAAGTTTACATTTATTTAACGTGCATTTACCACAATGTGACGGAAAAGCACTTGGATGTTTAGATTATATTGAAAAACAGTTGAAGGAAATACAAAACAATGATTTGATATGTTTATCTGGAGATTTTAATGTAACATTAAATGCAGAATTAGATCGTATTACTTCGGGAGAACATAGATTTTATATAGTTGATAGATTAAAGGATTTGTTAAATCAGTTTGGTTTATTCGATAGTTTTCGATATCTTTATCCCCAAAAGACGGAATCTATTTGGACCGGATAAAGAGAAGGCATTATATTAAAAGCTAGATTGGATAAGTTATATGTTAATTCTATTACGTTGACAAGAATTTTCGGACTGTTGCATGTAAATACGTTCATTTCTGATCGTGGAGCAGTAGTTGTACGACATACAGAGGTTTTGAGTAGGAATAAGAAGGGTTGCGCTTATTGGTGCTTTAATAATAAATTATTGGAAAATACCAAATATGTAAGTAAAATTAACCAAATCATAACAGATTTTTCAGACCCAACAAAAAAGGAAAATATCTAAAAAGGCTAGAGTGTGGTGGGATCGTTCAAACCAC